ACCCTGAATAGCCAAAGCAATCTTGAAAAAGAAAAACAAAGATGGAGGTATCACAATTCCAGACTTCAAGTTACATGACAAAGCTGTAGTAGATTTTTAAAAGGCGTTATTTTTAAGTAATCTTTACATTCAACATGGGGCTTGAACACACAACCCTGAGATCAACAATTGCATACTGTTCTGACTGAGCCAACAAGCTGCCCCACGAAGTAGTAGTAATTAAAACAGTATAGTTCTGGCATAAAAATAAACACATAAATCAATGGAACAGAATAGAAAACCCAGAAATAAGCCTACAATTATACGGCCAATTAATCTTCAACAAAGGAGGAATGAATATGCAATTGGAAAAAGAGTCTCTTCAGAAATGTTGGGAAAACTGGACAGTTACATACAAAAAAATGAAACTGGACCACTCTCTTTCACCATACACAAAAATAAACTCAAAACGGATCGAGAAACCTAAGTGTGAGAACTGAAACTATAAAAATCCTAGAGGAGAGCACAGGCAGTAATTTCTCTGACATTGGATGTAAGCAACATTTTTCTGGATATGTCTCCCGAGGCAAGGGAAACAAAAGAAACTTCCGGGACTATGTCAAAATAAAAAGCTTCTGAACAGCAAGAGAAACAATCAACAAAACTAAAAGCAACCTACTGAATGGGAGAAGATATCTGCAAGTGATATATCTGATAAAGTGTTAGTATTCAAAGTATGTAAAGAACTGATACAACTCAACACCCATAAAACAATCCAATTAAAAAATGGACAGGAGATGTCAACAGACATTTCTCCAGAAAGACATCCAGATGGTGAACAGACACATGAAATGATGCTCAGTACCACTCATTATCAGGGAAACGCACGTCAAAACCACAATGAGATATCACCTGACGTCTGCCGGAATGGCTAAAACCAAAAACACAAGAAATAACAAGTGTTGACAAGGATATGGAGGAAAAGGAACTCTCTCGCACTGTTGGTGGGAATGCAAACTGGAGCAGTCACTGTGGAAAGCAGTATGAAGGTTCCTCAAACAAGGAAAAACAGCATTACCATACGATCCAGTAATTCCACTACCTGCTATTTACCCCCAAAATACAAAAACATTAATTCAGAGGGATACGTGCACCCGTATGTTTATTGCAGCATTTTACACAACAGCCAATCTATGGAAGCAACCCAAGTGTTCATTGATAGATGAACGGATAAAGAAGAGGTGGTATAAATATATAGTAGAATATTACACAGCCATAAAAAATGAAATCTTGCCATTTGCAACAACATGAATGGACCTAGAGAGTATAATGTTAAGCAAAATAAGTCGGTTAGAGAAAGGTTTCTGACAGGATCTCACTCATATATGGAATTTAAGAAACAAAACAAATGAGGGAAGGGAAGAGAGATAGAAGCCAAGAAATAGAGTCTTAACTCTAGAAAACAAAAAGATGACTACCAGAGGGGAGGCAGGTGTGGGGAGGGGTGAAATTGGTGATGGGGATTAAAAGTATACTTATCATCATGGGCACTGAGTAATGTATAGACTTTTAAAAAAAAAAGACAAAAGTAGACACTACTTAAAGAGGTCAGAAGAATAGACTTCATTCAGTAGCAACCACGGCCGATAGGGAAGGCTCAGTGTGAACCAAAATTACCATCTGTGAAAGGAGAGACTTTCTAAAGCTCGCATGTGCTAAGAAAAGGCATTGACAGGTTGACAGGTGTTAACGGGGTTGGTCCACGTGTCTAGGCCGACTGGGTTTGTCAACAGGCACTTTCGGCACCTTTGGGATAGGAAGCAGCAGCAAGTTAGAGCAAGGTGCCCGGTGCCCCGCGGTGCCACTGGGCTGCGAGTGAGAGTTTCCTCTTGGAATGTTTGCATTTCAAAGAAACAGGAAGAAGGGAAGGATTTACAATTAGAAGTGTTCTAAAGTGACTACGAGGGGGTTTGGGGACCTCTCTGCCTGCCACCGTGTTTTGGCTAGAACAAACAATAAATTCTCCAGGCAGCACTGAGCTTTCTCAGGCAGGCACTAAGAGGGGCCTGGTTGTCCCAAAGATGTGGCCTTGAGCTGTCAGAAACTATCCTGGTGTTTGTTCAAATCTTGTAAGTGTATGTTGGTGGACAAAATAATTTAGGCTGAGAGTCTGTAGTTTTTATAAGCCAAGGTTGAGACCTACTTGAGAAGAGGGTTCCAAGGAGACTGACTAGAGTTTAGTCAAAGAGAGTCTTTGTCAAGACAAAACTCTGAAATTTAAGATGTCCGGTAATTGTGTAAGAAACATCCCTTTTTGTCAATGACTCTGAAGTACCACATTTGATCTGTAGTGATGGTAGGCAGGAATGGCAAAAAAAAAAAAAAAATCTTACATCAAGTTGGAAAATGTTTCCAGGACTTGAATTTACCAGTTACCACCAGATACCCCTTCCCCATGCCCACCCTTACTTCAAATACATATTGCAAATACACGTTAAACTCATTCTCACTTCAGTTGAAGGTGTTCCCTTCTTTTATTCCACCTTTTCCCACCTTTCCCAACCTATCAAAGACCCCCGTTGCCTTAGGGATGAGAGATACAGTAGAAGTGAGGTTCCCATTCCTTCACCTCTATTTTCTTCCTCCAAAACAGGAGGGTGTAGAGGATGTAGTAGACTCTTGCATCCCTATACCTCCCCCAACCCCTACTTGTAATGACTCTATTCTCTACCCTGAGCAAGACTTTAAGTTGGGTGATATTGAATTGTGTCATCATGTTCCACTAAAATGTGGGGGGAATTGGAGAACCCTGGTACAGGACAATGTTGGAGAATATTTACTAAAGAGCCCTTGTTCCTTTTTAGACCAAAACAAAACAAAACAAAACAAACAAACAAAAACAACTAAGCCCATCTGAGTTAATGACATAGCAGGAATAGAACCCATGTATCCTGACTCCCATTCTAGTGCTTCCCATTGCCTTTAAGGTTATTTGCTCAGACCCCTGGAAAGGAAGTGTCACAGAGCTCTAAAGACGGATAATTGTCTCATGAAATCCAACCATCTTTTTAACACAATAGATGAATGAAAACTGAAATAAGATATCTACTCTATTCAGTAATTATTCTCTGGTGCCCCCAACCGTGCTCTGAAAGTCCCCAGGAGCTAATGCCATCTTCTACATATTGTCCTCTCAGAATGCTACTTATTCCTAAGGACCAACTCCAGTCACACCCCTTTCTGGAAGCCTTCCCTAATGCCTCATACAAAGCTGTCCAGTTCAGAAACCTTGATCCACATATGGCTATTTAAAGGAGTTAAAGTTAAGTTAAAAATTCAGTTTAGTTCCTCAATTGCATTAACCACATTTCAGGTGCTCAACAGCCCTACGTGGCTAGTGCCTGCCATATTAGACAATGCACACTAAAGAACATGAGGAGGAGGGAGGGGCAGAGGGAGAGGGACAAGCAGGCTCCCCACCGAGCAGGGAGCCCAATGCAGGGCTGGATCCCAGGACCTCAGGATTATGACCTGAGTTTAAGGCAGACGCTTCACCGACTGAGCCACCCAGGCACCCTGGAACAGCACTACATACTGTTAGTTATAATTTTTTATGTGTATGTTTAATCTTTTTAGCTAGAGTATCAGCTCCTTGAGGAGTTTTTCAACTCTATATCCCTCCCCAGCTTAGTACAGTGCGTTATACCTAATAAATATCTATTCATTGATTGGCTCCTCAGGAAAGAATTGCCTCATTGGTAAGCTCTAGGATTACTTAAATCTTTTTCCTTTATTCTCAGCCAAAAATAAAGCCCAGCCCATCTTCCCAGAAAGAAGAAAAATGTGTTACAGGCTAATATATAAGAAATTCCTGTCCATCTAGGCATGGTCAGCGGGAAGAAAGGGCAAAGGAAAGGACTGGCCGTAGTGCACTATGCTTGCCACAGATATCAAACTCCAGGCCTACAATATTCTGAAAAGAACCTCTGTCTGGACACCTGGTTCCCTGACTTTTACCTCCCTATAGAGTTGTCCCCAATTTGGAATATTTGTGAGGTCAGGGTGCTGCCAAGGTCACCACAGTGTTCAGCAAATGGCAGGGTGGGGGCACAGGTGTGTCAAATAAAATCAAATCAAAAATTCCCAAAATAGGTGTCAGAACCATTACAGAGGAGTGTGACACCTGTGCTAAAGGGTTCTACGAGCCAATCTGGACCTGTTTCAGAGCCCAGCTCTAGCAGCCTGACCTTCCCCAGCTCTCAACTACCTATCTGATCTCAATCAGGAGGGTTTTGGGATTCAGTCACTGGAGACTCCTCTCTCCCAGAAATCCACTAGCAAGCAGAACCACACTTGACCATATTCAGTCCAGTGTTTTCTTCCCTGTCATCGTCTATGGTCTTCTAATTGTTCTAACTGTAATGCTCGTGCCCTTGAAAGCAGAGAACTCATTGTCATCATTGTCTCGCATCTTTTTTGAAATGATTAAAAGGTGATGTCTGTAAAAATGCCTGCCATGGAAGAGGCCTCAAAATTGTCTCTGTCCCTGGCATCTACCCCTGAGCTAACACCTCCTTTGTTCGTTCCTCCAAGTCTTCCCCCTTCTAAAGGTACAATTTAAAATCTTCTTTCTCTCCATGAACGCTCTCCTTAAACCCAGCAGGAAACCATCCCTCTCACTTCTCAGCTTGCACTACCTCGTTGCTGGACCCCTCCACACTCTATTGGCATGAGTATTATCACCTTTCTGTATATGCATCTTGAGTATTTTATACTTCTTTGGGCCTCCAGGGCTTAGCCCGGAATAGATCTTCTATAAATATGTAGTGTTTGATTTGTTTGTAAAACCAACAAATATATTTTAATAAATAGCTGATTATATTGAGCACACAAGCATCAGTCATCTTTCTCCATAATGGAATATATTCAAGACAAAGGCTTTTATTTTTACTTATTTTTTATTTTCTTAAAGAATTTATTTGTTTATTCATGAGAGACACAGAAAGAGGCAGAGACATAGGCAGAGGGAGAAGCAGGCTCCCTGTGGGGAGCTGGATGCAGGACTCCACCCCCAGACTCCCAGACCGGGATCACGCCCTGAACCAAAGGCAGATGCTCAACTGCTGAGCCACCCAGGCATTCCTTTTTATTTTATTTTTTAAAGTAATCTCTACACCTAATGTGGGGCTCAAACTCACAACCCCAAGATAAAGAGTCTCGGGTTCTGAGCCAGCCAGGCACCCCAGAACAAACCATTTAAAGTGCTTTTCAAAAATACTCATATTCAAAGCACTTTACATAGTGCCTAAGATGTTTTAAGTACTGAGTAAATGTTGATTGAGTGAAGTTTCTAAATAAGCCCTATAGGAAACAAGTCAGTCTTCTGGCCATTTATATTCTAATGTACATGGACCAGTGCATGTATCAGCCATGCTAGTGATGGACAAATCTCAGTAATGGCTCTTCTTATGGGGCATGTTCCCATGCCACTGCCACCATACCATCCATGAGTGGGGCGCTGTCATCTTCATAGGATCGCTCAAATTTCAGTTGACACTCTTTCAGGAAAGCATCTTTTTCCCTTTATTCATCTTAGGTTTATTGGCTAGTGCCCTGTAAATTAGACTGATAGAAAACAGACTGACAATAGAAACATAGAAGTTTATTAACATATGCATCATACATACTCAGAGATGAGCAACTCAAAATGTTTAGAACTTGGCTCATACAGCGTTTCAACCTAAGAATATTACATCTGTAGAAATGTGACAAAAGAAAGGAAAAGACTGGGTTTCTGGGGGTAGCAAATTATGGGAAGGTATATATCTGGGAAATGAATGGAAGATACGGACTAGTTATAAGATTTGTTATGTAGATTCCTCTGGTGTCATCTCTGGGCCAGTAAGTGTCTAGAGGTGTCTCTGATAATTAACTCCTCTCTTCTAGATAGAAAAAAGAGGGGTACATCTTTATAAATTTATGTCCTGCTTTGAGGCAAATAGGCAAATAGTAGAGACTTTTTTTTTGTTTGTTTGGTTTTTTTACATTTGCTTCTTCTCAATTGCCTTCAGCTCAAAACAATCTTTATGACAAAATAGCATATTTTGGGGTGGCATATGCTACTACCCTTCACTCTTCAATTACCCAAGTCACACCGACATATTATGTGCTGCTAGGAACTCATTTTCACTCACTTCTAAAACAATGGCAACCCTATGGACAATTTCTACTTTACATAACTAGTCTGGGCAAATCAAAATCATGAACTAGTAGATAAGCAACTGTATGACAATATGAGGTCACCGTCAGAGCTCCTTTTTTTTAAGATTTATTTATTTATTTGAGAGAGAGAGCAAGAGCGAGGGGTAGGGCAGAGGGAGAGGGAGAGAGAGAATCTTAGGCAGGCTCCATGCTCAGCACAGAGCCCAGTGTGGGACTTGATCTCACAACTCCAAGATCATGAACCCTGAGATCATGACCTGAGCTGAAATCAAGAGTCGGACACTTAATCAACAAAGTCACCCAGGTGCCCCAATCATAAGAGCTCCTTGTAAAACCCTTATAGTCGTGTGATGTTCTCTGAAATTGAGTTAGAACAGAAGGGTGAGAAAGTGGAGCTATCTTCCCTGATTCGTTTTGCCACAAGAGTCTCAACCAGGAAGTCTCATCAGTAAGAATTGTCCTTCTACTTCATGAAATCCAGCTTTGTCTGTCATCTACTCATTGATCCACTCATTCATTCAACAATTATGTATTAAGCACCTATTCTGCTCTGACATGGAGATAAACCAATGAGAAAAACTGGCTGGGTCTATGCCCTTATGAAGAATATAAATTCTCATAAGAGGTATATCAGTCAACTACTAGGTTTCCTCAAATCTAAGGTATCATTGATTTCCATCATGGATTTAATAATACCTTTTCAGGAGGAAAAAGTGCTACCACACTAAATATGCACAGTGATTCGATGTCACCATCACAAATTCCTCTCCAAAAATATCACTAAAGCAATGTGTTGGTATGACAAAACTCAGTTTATTTCTTACCTAGGTAAGGGAAAGCATTATCTAAATAGACTTTGTAGCATCTCAGGGGAGGATAAGGACAAAATTGGGCTATTTCTTAAACTTTAAAAGTCCAGTTTAATGTGAGTCTTTCACTGGAAGGTGGGGGGGGAGTCTTGGTTAGCATCGGATAAGGATCATGATATGATAGTTTAGGGTTGGTACACACAGCAATTGAGACAAGGGGCTCAGAGTCTTGAAATAAAAATTGTCGTTTGATGCTTTGTTTTGAAGAATAGAAGAGTCTTTCAAGCAGATCCTGGAATCAACAATGAAGTCATTTGTAACTTTTATCTTCCTGGTAAAGAGCTGCCTGGAATGGTGAAGTCATGTTGATGTATAGACTAAGCTACTAGATGGTGCCATCAGCATGTGAAAAATATGCCCCTTCAAAAAAATAATTACACAATTAAGGGTATGTAATTATAATTGCAAAACATGCTGTGATGGATAAATATAGGGTACTATGGGAGCATATAACTGGGGCACCTCACCTACTCTGCAGAAGTCAGAAAAAGCATTTTTGAGGAACTTGTGTTTGAACTGAAGCAAAATGATGAATTCAGCAAGTTGAAGAAATGGAGAGGTGGGGGTAGGAGGATAAGATAGCACTTGCAAAGGTCCCATAGCAGGAAGGAATATGGTATATGAGGACTTGTTGAAAGATTAGCAAGACTGGAGCATAGGAAAGAGGCACACAGTGTAGGCCAATTGGCTGGGAGTGGGCAAGAGATTGCTGTCCAGGGCACCAGGGTGGTTCAGTTGGTTGGGTGTCTGCCTTTGGCTCAGATCATGATCCTGGGGGTCCTTGGTTCAATCAACCCCATACTGGCTACCTGCTTGGTGGGGAGCCTGCTTCTTCTCCCTCTGCCTGCCACTCCTGCTTGTGCTCTCTCTCTCTCTCTCTCTCTCTCTCTCTCTGTGTGTGTGTGACAAATAAATAACTAAATAAAATCTCAAAAGAAGAAGAAGAAAAAGAAGAAGAAGAAATTGTTGTCCACTGCTATGCTTCAGAGTGACTTTCTATATTTTTTTTGACTTTCTATTTTTGAGACAAGAAAACACTTAATGCTCTGAGATCTGAAGACAATATCCCCAGAATCAAAATCTAACATTCTCAAAGTTTAAAAAGAGTGATGAGTGAACCTCCGTGGTAGTCTACCATAACAACATCAGATTGAAATTGTTGCCCAACAACAGCAGAACCAGTTCTAGAATATCCTCCTGCTTGTGCTCAGACTTGTGATCAACAGATTATCTTGATTCTGATCTGGAGACTTGGCCATGCCCAAGAGGCCAGATAAATTTAAATTAAGGAAGAAAAGTTATTTCCAAATGTTTAATTTATAATTGAGCAAATAAATATTTTTTAAAAGCCCTGGGATTAAAACTTCTGCTTTATGGTGATTTTTTGTTTTATATACAATTATTCATTAATTCATAAGAGTACTTCAATGATATCTACAGGGTACAAGCCACACACTAAATCTTGACTGAAACTTGCTTTCTGTTTCTTAGGATTCTAAGCAGTTGGGGATGGGTTTAGAACCATGTGATCAATTGAAACTCTTTATTCCGGGGCCTCTTTACTCTAGTTCTCTCTGGCTGCATACAACAATTTGTTATTACCTGCCATGAGTTGACTGGGTTCAACTCAACAGTTTTTGCTTGATGTCTCTCATGCAATTGCAGTTGAAGTCACCTGGGACTGTGATCATCTGAATGTTCAACTAGGGTGAGACATCCAAGATGGCTCACTGACCTGGCTGGCAGGTAATGCTAAATGTGGGTCAGGAGCACGGCTGAGGCTGTCACCCAGAGCACCCACATGTTGTTTCTCCACATCTATCCTGCTTCTCACAACATGAAGGCTGAGTTTTGACAGGAAGCTGCCAAAGAACAAGTATTCCAAGAAGCAGGAGCAGAAGCTATCAAGCTAGGAGAGGACTAAGCCTAGGACTAAGCCCTCTGTTACTTCCGCCATATTCTATTAGAGCAGTCACAGGGCCTTCCCAGATTCAAGAGGATGCAGATAGACACCATCTCTTGATGAGGGAGTGACAAGTTAATATTGCACAAGAGATATCACAGCAATATCTGGAAAATATAATCTACCGTATTGGAATCATGATAATATTTGGACCAGCAACTTGTACCAAAGCTTACAGGGTGGAGAAGGAGCATACAAAAGAGTAACAACCGTGATTCCTTTGAGGTAGTACTTGGCAATGCTAAGCTCACACTTGAGAGAATTAGGGCACTTCTCAAACCACATACCAGTAAGTGTGGACAAATGCACAGGCATCTCCCATGCAATATCAAAAAAGCTCTTCTGAAAAGTAGAAACTCTGTGTGAAAACCAAACTGGGAGACTATTTTGTATTATTTAAAGAAAGAAAATTATAACCATTCCAGACTCCCAATCAATTCTCTAAGTCATAACTAAAACACTGCAAAGCACCTACATGTAAGTCCTAATCAGCTATATTGGGCTGTAAAATGCTTAAGACATTTGCTACCTGGTCACCAAACAGTATGAATGATCATAAATTGCTGCTTCTTGTCAAGAGCCATGAAGGATTTGAGATTTTTTTCCCCCACTTGCAAACTAACAAGTTAGTCTGCCACTGTCTTGTGGATGCTAACCAAAGGCAAATCTCCTGGGTTAGTGACAAAGAACAGTTTATTACTCACAGTAAGAGCAGTAGCCAGAGACTCCAATTTCTACAGGTGACAGAATGAGGGCCAGGTGGTGCCTGCACATGCAGCTAATTGCATTCCGGGAAAGGAACCTCAAGATTAGGAAACTTCAGTTTTGTATAATAGAGAGGAAGCAAAACCATTGCTCAACCTTCGCCCCATAGGGAGACATTATCTTTATTGCACTGCACAGCAAACAAACCTACCTTCTGCTCTGGAGAAAGACACTGTCTCCATCTTCCTAAGCTGTACGGTCCGGGAAACGATAGTATAGCACAAAAGACTGTTGGTGCCTCTGCCCACAAGACCTGAGGAAATACGAGGAACACATGGAAAATGGTCTCCCAACACTTTGTGGGCAGTAAATGCTACATCTGAGATCAAGCAATTGCTGAATTGTGTGCCCTCTTTGTTGACCTTTGGCATTTTCAAAACATCTACATGGAATTCTGATGTTCTAGCATTTGTGTTTAGAAGAAAACAAGAGACCTTCCCTGAAAATAATTTTTTTATTGAGTTTCAAAAGAGAAAGAGAATGGGTAATAGATGATTTTTCACTCCCCAATACACTGAGAACCAAGGCCATGGAAAAGGATGATGAGATCATGTAACCATCGGCTTATTTTCCCATTCTTGCCACTCATTCATTCATTTATTAAACAAATAATTATTTAGCCCTGAGAATTATAGAAATGAAAAAGACAGGGATGTTCCTTGCTCTGATGGAGCTTATGGTCCAGTGGAAGAGGTAAACATTAAACAATTAATACACAATGGATTTTTAGAATGATAGAAAAAAAAGCATTGTTTAACTTTGCCCTTTATCATTATTTTTTTCCATTTGAAAGTAGTGATTTATTAACTGACCAGATTACAAAAATAATCATAGTAGATACCTTAGTTAATCCTTCTAGTAAGCCTATTGATCTGGTCTTCCCTGTTGTCAGCATCTCCACCTTCTACAAAATGGATGGTCTTTTTCTTCATTCTGCCGCGTGGAGAAGATAATTTGAAAGTTGTTAAAAAGTTGTTCGCTTCTTTGAAACGTTTTCCAATGGTATAGATCGCGTGAATCAGATCCTTCATGCAGATGATGCCATATTTACGAAGAGATCGGGCAACCAGTGTGTCATCTGTCAGGGCAATTCGCTTCTTGTTGATCTTGCCATAGCCATGCTTGTAGATCAATTCATTCATTGACTTCAGGTTTGGGTACCTCCATGCTATATATGGTTCACAATCTTGGCATGTAAACTGAAGCCTTGTTGAGCTTAACAAAGGTGCCATTGAAGATCTGGCGAAGTGCCCTTTATTATTAATTAAAAGTTGAGGCTCCGTAAAATTACTAGCATGTTAATTTGTGTCTGATAAAGATTTGAATAATTTTTTCCAGTGAAAATTGTAGCATCAGTGTACGCTGGTAAACTGGCCGGGGGTAGAAAGACTGGCTTGCAAAATTCCTGAATATATAACAATCAGCTGGTATGAACTGGCTCCAGCATGCCACCTGGTAACCTCAAAAGTTAGGGTTTGTTACCCTGTAGGACATTAACCAACTTTGTCTCTAACTTAGCAATCTGTACCTAAGATTTTTCTAAAGGATTATATAAACCCTGGTTTCTCAAAATATTCTTTGAATGAGCTTTACTATATTATTGGGTTTCCTTATTTTTTTTTTTAAGATTTCACTTATTCCTGAGAGACACAGAGAGAGGCAGAGACAGAGGCAGAGGGAGAAACAGGCTCCCTGCAGGGAGCCGGATGTGGGGACTCTATCCCAGGACCCCAGGATCATGCCCTGAGCAGAAGGCAGATGCTCAACTGCTGAGACACACAGGCGCCCCTGGTTTACTTATTAATTAACTTGATTAAATTTTGACACATTTTCATTTTTAGATTTGTGTAAGAGTCAAGATTTTAAAATATTTAAAAACTTACACTTTCATTCTAAAAGTGTAGCTTCAAAAAATAAAAATAAAAAAAAAATAAAAGTGTAGCTTCGTGGAAGCCAAGGAATTACTTATACTCAAGAAGAATTAGTGTATCACGATGAGAAACTACTCCACACGCACAAGGATGGCTAGGTCAAAAAGTCAGATAACAGTAAGCACTGACAAGGATGTGGAGAAGTGAGCACCTGCATACGGTCCTGGTGGGAATGTAAAATGGAGCAGCTGCTTTGGAAAACAGCAGGCAGTTCTTCAAGTGATTAAACACAGAGTTACGACATAACCCAGGTATTCCACTCCTAGGTATATGCCCAAGAAAAATGAACACATATGTCCACAGCAAGACTTATACACAAATGTTTATAGCAGCATTATTCATAATAGCTAGAAGGGGATACAGAAATAGTAGGAGAGAAGCTCAGAGTGGTACACGTGAGGGTGGGGCATAGAGCTCATGTAGGGTCTGGTAGGCCTTGAATAGATTTTTGCTTTTACTCCAACTAGAGTGGTCTGAGCAGAGAACTAATCTCAACTTTTTAATGTAAATAATTATAGGGACTACCCAGCTTGTAGGCCTTGCTACTTCTCTCTCTCCCCCATTAGATGTGCTCCCATATTTCCTCCCAGGGGACTTGCATGGGGCCTGGTGCAGAGTCCTCAGTCAACCAATGCTAGTTACGTGAATCCTGAACATCTCCTGCTCCAGAGGCATGCAAAGGAGGAATGGCCGATGCTTGAAGTGGGCAACGGCCTGGGGAGGCAGCAGCAGAGTTCTTAACTTCTTAAGAATGTATCAGTCACAAGCACCTTGGCCTAGCAGTCAAGAGAACCTTGAATTCCAGTCTCTGTTCTCGGGCTCACTTGCTGTGTGACCTTGAAAAAAATCATTTCCTATCTCTGGGCTCTATTCCTAAAACCAGAACACTGGGTAAGGTCATCTCTAAGGTATATTCAGTCCTGACTAGACTCTACTACATTAAAAAAAAAAAAAATCACTGTGTGCCTGGATGGCTAACTCTTGATTTCAGGTGATGATCTTAGGGTCCTAGGAGAGAGGGCCACACTCAGTGGGGAGTCTGTTTGACATTCTCCCTCTCCCTCTGTCCCTCCCCCTGCCATCACTCTCTCAAATAAATAAATAAATCTTTTTAAAAAGTCATAGTAAAAAAGGTGGGCACAGCTCAAATGCTCACCAACTGATGAATGGATAAAACTGATATATATCCATACAACGGGATGTCATTCATCCATAAAAAGGAATGAAGCACTGATACATGTGTTACTTGGATAAACCTTGAAAACATGATGGTAAGTGAAGGGAGCCAATCACCAAAGTCTACATATTACATGATTTTATTCTTCTGAAAGTCCAAAACAGGCAAATCCAGAGAGACAGAGGCAGATTAATGATTGCTCAGGGATGGTAAGAGACGACGGGTTGAGAGAGGAGTGACAGCTAAAGGTGCCAGCTTTCTTCATGAGGTGATGAAAATGCTTTAAAACTGTGCACATATTAAACACCATTGACTTGTACACTTTAAGAGGGTGAACTGAAAAAGAAGAAGATGTGGTGTGGTTCATAGTGTTAAATGCTCAGAGAAATCAAATGGGAAAAGAATAGTGCAGTGGGAGGTGAAGAAAGAAATGAGTTAGATGACTTTCTCAGGACGTTTGGCTGCGAAGGGCAGGGAGATATCCAAGTGGTTGTAGTATTGAGGAAACATGGTTTTTAGACTGAAGATAGAAAAAGGTATCTCAAGATGTCAGTAGAGACAGAGAAGTTAGAGAGCTAGGAGGGAGGGTCATGGATAAGTAGGGGCCCCCGAGGCAGGAGCAGGAGGAAAATCTAGGGCCGGGGTGAAAGGTACAGTTGGAGACAGTAAGGTGAGGGTCTCTTTTGGTGAAACGGCAAGGGATGAAGAAAGGCAGGTGGGTGTGGAAGCAGGTGGGTTTGCAGGTTGGGTCATAGGAACTTGGGGAAGTTCTCTGATGGCTTCTGTTCTTGCTGTGAAATAGATCTGGCCATCTGCGGGAGTGAGGAAGAAGGCAATTGGGATAGAAGAATGAGGACTGGAAAAAGTTTGAGATGGTTGCTTCTGAATGGGAGATCGGGTTTCCGGTGTTGCAGGAAAGACTGTAGTTGGAAGAATCTTATTTAGTTCCCACCTAGAAAGTCTGGAGAACTTGGATTCATAGATATAACCTCCAAGATGAGCAGGAGAATGACAGACCCCAGGGTTAGGGTGGCCTATAGGAGACTCCTTTTAGGATACGTAGTTCTGGGCCTGGATCTAGAGACCCACATTCTAATTTTAAGGTAAACTACTTGTCTGTTGTATGATCTTGAATATCAATGAACACAAGGTACTGTGCTTCAGTACTTCTTTCACTGAAATTGTATTTTTTAATTTTTACATTGAAATAATTTTAAGCGTATAGAAAATCCAAAGATCATATAAAGAGTTTCCATATACCTTTCCCTGAACTTTCCCTAATATTAGCATTGTACAGAATCATGGCTCATTTATCAAAACTCATAAATTAACATTGGTACAATACTAAACTACAGATATTATTTGGATCTTACCAGTTCTTCCACTAACATCCATTTGCTGTTTAGGATCTAATTCAGGATGCCACTTTGCATTCACTCTCCACGTTTCCTTCAGTCTTGACAGCTTTTAAGCCTCTTCCTGTTTTTCATGAACCTGACATTTCTGAAGAGTACTGACGAAGTATTTTGTAGGATTTCCCTCCATTTGGGGGTGTCCGATATTTTCTCCTGTATTTAGACTCCCATTATGGATTTTTGGGGAAAAAGAGTATAGAAGTGATGTGCTCTTCTCATCATATTAGGTGGCACATGATATTAACATGACTTATTACTGATGATGTTAATTTGATCGGTTGGTTAAGGTGGTGTTTGCCAGATTTCTCCGTTATAAAACTATTATTTTCCCCATATTCTATTTATTAGAAGTCATTCACTAATTCTAGCCTATATTCATGGGGATGGGAATTCTGTGTTTCTGGTTTGAATCTTGGCAATGAGGAAGTTTAGCCCCCCAGATTCTATGGTTCTAGGCTGTTTTCCATACTGGTACAATTTGAGAGGAACCAGGATGTTCCTTTAACATTAATCATCTACCTATCCTAGCCTGTGATTGAAATTCCAAGGTTAATGACGCATTCCTTGTGGTTTTGCATTGCTTACTTTCTGCAGGTCTTCTTTCAAAATGCAATCATTTCTGGGAGAACCAGTACCATCTCATTGTGATGGGTAGTTAAGGATGCTCGGAGGAAAAATAATGCAACCTCTCATACAAAAGGCAAACTTTTCTTTTTTTGAAAGAGAGAGAGGGAGAGTGATAAGCAGGCTCCATGCTCAGAATGGAGTTTGATGTCGGGCTCGATCTCACGACCCTGAGCCAAAATCAAAAGTCAGACACCCAACCAGCTGAGCCACCCAGGAGCTCCCAAAGTGGAAAGATTCTTATTGTGTGTATGCATGTGCAACCTGAAAGTGCTTATTGGGGAGACCTTACTCTGACTCTTTGCCCCATCTTGAGACCAGGCAGAGAATTTATTTCCTTATATACACACCTAAAAATTATTCCTGAAGTGCCATTTACTGACATTTTCATGGGCAGACTAAGCCAAACAACCAGAAGTTCCCATTAGACATCCTTGTTCTTTCTCCCAAACCGCTTCTACTTCACCTGACCAGTTCATAATCTTTTTTCATAATCTGTCCCCTACCCTACCCTCCATCCCCTCTATTATCCCCATCAATAAGTACTCAGCATCTCCTACTAGTAAAACAAAACCCCAAAGCTGGTTAGGTAGGCCCTGGGGAGGATCCTAGTCCAGCCTGTCCTATCAAGATCATATCCTTTGAGATAAAAAGCTAAGAACTCTGTTCCCAAAGAACTAACACTTTTACCAATAGCTTGCAAACATCTCTAGGAAGATCACTGGACTCTTAAAGCCCAACCTTGAACCTTCCCACTCGGGTTCCCAGTGCTTCACTGCGTTCCTGAAACCAGGGCTCTAACCTCTGCTTGACCGTGTCTGAGAAAAGGAGTCAGTAGATATATCTGTTCCCTGGAGGAACAAATAATGAATCAAAAGCATGTGACTGCTTTCCCTGTATTTGAGGATTGTCAATATAACCCTTACTGGTCTTCCTATTTTTCTGACCAAGCAGCTTCATTTTCTTCTGTTATTTCCTAACATGATCTGTTTGTAAACTGTCACCAGCCTGGACACTCCTAATTGGATGTAACACCAATTTTCAGAGGCTTTTAAAAATGTGATACCTCCAGTGAGATGCCACTTCACACTCCTCAAACTAGCAAATCTGACAGTACTATGTGTGGCAAACCACTGTTAGGTGAGTAAATCAAAGGATATATCCATTCAGTGGAATACGACATAGCCATGAATGAATGAACTAGAGTTACATG